GATTAAAAGTGTTTAAAATATGAATGGAAAGAAGAATAGGATGTGACGTGTGGTGCTCGCCGCTATCTGTCGGGACTAGCTCTCACATGCTGTTTATTCAAGCCAGTAAACACATTTGTGACATGATTTGATTAACGCATTTCCCCAGAAATTTCGCAAATATTTTTAATGTGGAAGGAATGGTAATGTCCGTTCGATTAGGACACACTCAGATGACCAAATTCACGCGCTGGGCGCGATTCATTCACCCTCGGACGCGTCACCTGTCACATCGAATAGCCGTAGTCGCACGTATTTTTTGCATGATGAAATTCGATATATCTGTATGATTAATCATTATACAGCGAGATGTCCGTTTGAATAGCACTGGGACTAACCGTGTAATCATCGTTATTCGCCTCCGACTCGCCGTAGACGGTTCCGTCACAAAAGTTGCCAACTTATTCTCTGTATAATATCGTATGTGGTTATGGTGGTGTATTGGCGCGTACAGCACAGTTAAGCAATTTAAGGAAATATTGTCGTCCGTTCCAATCTGGAGACAGTCTCGTTAATACTCGGATCTTAACTGATGTCAATCAGAGGTAATTACAGTTGGCGAACAAGATGTACTCGTGGCGACCAGATATATAGGCCAGCAATCACTGCTCGCCCATCAGGCCAATGGAAATACATGTGTAATATTGGTCAAAGTGTCAGCGACGCATGAATTAGGAACACTTGCAATAATACCATATACGATCCATGTAATGACTCTTCAAAATGCCCTTAACCTTGGCATATTAGACTTCTCCTTCAAACATCAAAATGCCTTGTAAATACGATTGAATTGCCAAACGAATGTAATGAAAGTTGTAGAAGCATTGAGGGACTTTTTATTTCATCATATGTCAGCATTCATTAATGTCCACCAATTTTTCAGCCATTTACATGTTTATAAAATAGGTACTAATCAACAGGTACATATGTACTGATCGACAGATACATGTATGTACATGAAAACAACTACTGTAAATAGGTTAGATACTAATCAACATGTGCATATAAATGTATTGTGAACAAATCAACCTGAATACATGTATATGATCAATTCGAAACAACACATCCCCTCATAATAAAAACACAGGACAATGTCCTAAAAAAGGAGGTATAATATTTCAAAGTGTCAATCGTGACTAACATTAAAAACAGTATTAGGTAAAATCAAATTTAGATGCATTACTTATGATAAGTATACTCTTATGTCAATATTCAGCAATACAATCTTGCATACGTGTCTTACGTTAGATTTTAAAGGTCGTCAAAGCTGCTTCTTCAACCAGTTAGCAACAAAACATGAGAATAAGTACTAATCTTAGCCAAGCATGCAGCAAATACACTTAGCAGACCATGTACTGCCAGTAGATATAAGTCAGATGCTCTTACTAGGAGACGAAAACATCTATAGTGTTTGGTAGAACTGACTAGTAGGGAGATCAAAACATATCTAAAGCCTGGCAGTGTTTATTCCACTATAGCTGTTTTAATCAACTGTATTCTCAAAACATTTTGACATTTGTGCGATAGATTTGACGGTGTCTTGTCCATGGGTTGTCTCTGTGCTTGTAAAGTAAGTTTTTATGGATTATCGCTATGTTCAAATGTGTACGGAAAATAATGAATAAATCGAAATTATCACATAATTGGAAGCCGTGTTCTATTTTGAATTACAATGGCTTATTATGTTCTGCTGGCGTTTATGTATATTGTATTGGCCCGTCATGTTTGTATTGGAATTTATTACGAATTGCGTTAGACACTAGCTTTACGCTTCTGTATATGTCCTATATCAGTTAAAGTTTCCTTCATGTAGTATGTCGATACACTGGTAGGTACTGGTTAGTGGTAATTAATGTTGCAAAAAATACAATTATTTTCCAACGTTCGACTTAAAGAATTTCAAACTGTCCAACTATACATCAATATTGCGGCAGATTGTTTCCTATTTATACAATTCGGAAACTGAAAAAAAATGTTCTTGTGTCTAAGTGACGGTGCCTTATTGAGTTTTACTGGAATTGTCCTCTTTCTCTCTGCTATTATCAAACCTGAAACCTACTTGAAGTGACGCTAGCATCATTCATATTTACAGTGCTTCAATATTGACACGATCTGCGCATGCGTTTAGTGTATGTAGGACATGCATTATTATCTATTCAATTGTTAATTTGATACTTAAAAATTAACCATCATGTTTAGTTTATTTGGCTGAATATATAACGAAGGTAAGAAATTGTTGGCAAACTGATCAACACGACCCAACTCTGTCTGATTTAATCGGGTTTTCTTCGACGATACAACTATACAACATATCCTAATTATTTCTTAGACGTAGTCTGGTCCTCATGTCAACTATTTTCAACGTAGGCTGAAGGTATGCTATATGAGTCCAAGTTCTATGTTAAAATGATACCCTGAAGTAAAATTTAAAATTTAAAAAGCATCTAAAGCCATACTGGAATGAACAGTTGGCATTGCTTCACGATACCATGATAGGAGTCAGAGCGATTTGGGTGAGGGGTGGGAAACCACGAGATGTATTAAACGATAGTTACAGAGATTACAAACAGGCTAAAACTGATTTCAGAAGGGGCTTAAGGCAAGCGTTTGAGAAGTACATGACAGCGCAGTTTACAGAGATAGATAAATCTGGAGAAATTGATCAGACATTATTTTGGCAACTATCAAAGAGAAAAACACCAAAAAAACAACATGCTCAAACTGAGTTGAAGTACGACGGAGTCACTTATCGTAATCCAAACAAATGGTAGAAAAATGGGCATGCCATTTCGAAGATATTTTTACTGATAAGGCAGACAATCGTTTCGATAACAAGTTTTAGAGCGAGATATTAAAATGTGTTAGCGACATTGAAATTGGGCTTTCCAATGGAAAGGACAAGTATTTGGATGACCCTATTATAGAGCGTGAAATCAAAAATATATGTTGTAAATTAAAACTAAACAAAGCTGGAGGGATTGATAATATTGTGTATGAACACTTCAAGTACGGGAGTGAATTGCTAAATAGTCACTTGTAGAAGTTATAAAATGCTGTCATCAAGTCTCAACATATACCTGATGATTGGAAAAAAAGGCCTTGTCATAACACTGTATAAGGGAAATAGTAAACCGAAAGACGACCCGAATAGTTATAGACTGGTGACACTTTTACCTGTAATATTCAAATTTTTTGAAATGATTTTGTCAAAGAGACTGGATCCTGTCCTTAGCCCGGATAATTTCCCAAACAGGCAACAATTAGCATATCAAAAATGGTTATGTAGTCTGCTAACGTCTTTTAATCTTCAAGAAGGTATACGGTATAACACCGAGAAAGGAGAAGACGTACATGTGGGATTTCTCGATAACAATAAGGCTTTCGACACCGTTTGGCATGCTGGGTTGCTCTTTAAACTGCATGAATTAGGAATAAAATGTAAATCATGGAACATTATGAAAAAAATGTATACCAATGTACAAAGTAGTATTTTAGTGAACGGATTGAGGTCAAGATGGGTAAACATGGAGCGCGGTATCTTACAGGGAAGTGCTCTTTCAGCAAAAATGTATCTTGTTTTTAAAAATGAACTGCTGAACAATATTGAAAAATGTGGGAAGGGTACAGTAACAGCAGATCTGCGAGTTAACATTCCCACACAAGCAGATGATATATGTGTAATTAGTACTAAATATTCTGATCTGCAATATATGCTTTCTATATGTGAAGAGTACAGTAAGAAATGGAGATTTACATTTTCTTCTGCTAAAAGTAAAATTGTAACTTTTTCCTGTAAAAGAAGAAATATTGAACGTAAGACTCTGTATTTATATAATTGTATTCTTCCATGTTGATGATATCGTCCATGTTGGTGAAATGCTGAACAGTAAATTTAATTCAATAGAGCGTACCTTACGTGCATGTAACAAGTTACGAAGCGGAACCATGAGCATCATTCGATGTGGAGCCCATCCAAGTGCTTTAAATCCACTAACTATAAGAAGAATTATAAAATGTAAAGTGTATGCTGCAGCCTTATATGGTCGTGAATTATGGTGTTTATCCAGAACAGAAATATTAATGCTTGAAAGAGCACAACATTTCATCTTGAAAGCAATACAAGGTTTTGAGACTAAAACCCGTACAGATATGTGTACAAGTCTACTTGGATGAACCAGTATAGAATCATATATAGACACTAAGAAATTGTTGTTCCTAGGTAGGTAATGTAGATTAGATAACACGAATTTGTCGTCTCGTGTATTCTTTACAAAATATTTTCTCGCTGATATAGAATCTAAGTTAAGTTCAAATAGACAAGGGTTCGCAGTTGATGTACTAAGAATACTGCAAAAGTATAAATTGTTTTAATTGTTTAATGATTTTATAACTAACTGTGCTTTTCTGTCTAAATGTATGTTGCGTGTTAAAGTAAAAAAATGCCGTATACTCAGTAGAGAATTTAGCGTGGCGAGAAAGAATGGCCAATGATGGCGAGTTTACTAGATTTTCTCTTATCCACGATCATTTAGTACCACATGTTTTATGGAGACTGGCATTTAAATTCCCAGCCAAAAGAGAAGCTATACAATATGTCATGAAATTAATTGTAACTATCAGAGAGTGTGAGGGTGAAGAATTATGTCATAAATGTGGCTTTATGTACAGTGATATAGCCACCCATATAGTTCTACAATGTGATTATACAGGTGAGTTAAGAGATAATTTATGGTGTGATATTATAAATATTAAAAACATAATGTTTAGTGTGTACTTACATTCCATGTCTGATTATGATATGTTTCATATCCTCATCGGAGGAAATGTAGAGCATGAGTTGAATTCATCGGAGTTAGATGACTTTCGCATAAAATCTGTAACCTGTATATTCAGAATGTGCAAACTTTACTACAAATGATGTCTTAACCTAATCTTTATAATGTGTCAATTGTAACATTTTCCCTTTTTCTGTATTTCGTATGATGGTCATCTCTCTTAAGTAACTT